TTAAAGATGGGGTTTCACCATGTTGGTCAGGCTGGTCTTGAACTCTTGACCTCAGGTGATCCACCCGCCTTGGTCTCCAAAGTGCTTGGATTACAGGCGTGAGCCACCACACCCGGCCCACATTTCTTTTCTGTGGATTTCGTTGTCTGCAACTAAGAACTCTGATACGGAAGGGAAGGATAAGTGGATGGATGGGTGGTTGAATTGGTTGGTGAAAGGGTGGGCGCGTGAATAAAGGGTGGGTGAGTAGAAGAGTGGATGAATGGTGGGTCAGTGGAAGGCTGGGTAGACAGGCAGGCATCAAATATTGAGTTGTTTTTGGGAGATAGGAACATAGATTATTTTTCTTCTTCTTCTTTTTTTTTTTATAGAGATGACGGGGTTTCACCATGTTGGTCAGGCTGGTCTGGAACTCCTGACCTCAAAGTGCTGGGATTATAGGCATGAGCCACGTCGCCCAGCCTTTCTTTCTTTCTTTCTTTCTTTTTTTAGACAGAGCCTTGCTCTGTCGCCCAGGCTGGAGTGTAGTGGCACCAACTCAGCTCACTGCAGCCTCCGCCTCCCGGGTTCAAGCAATTCTCCTGCTTCAGCCTCCTGAGTGGCTGGGATGACAGGCATGCGCCACTATGCCCAGCTAATTTTTGTATTTTTTGTAAAGATGGGGATTTCATCATGTTGGTCAGGCTGGTCTTGGACCTCTGACCTCAGGTGATCTGCCTGCCTCAGCCTCCCAAAGTGCTGGAATTATAGGCGGGAGCCACCACTCTCGGCCAGTTTTTCTTTGGTTCACCTTATTTCCTTTTTTCTTTTTCTTTATTTTCTTTTTCTTTCTCTTTTTAACTTTTATTTTAGGTTCTAATGTACATGTGCAGGTTTGTTATATAGGTAAACTCGTGTCACAGGGGTTTCATCACTCATGTACTATACCTAGTACCAGATACCTTTTCTTTCTTCCTTTCTTTCATTCTTCCTTCCTTCCTCCCTTCCCTTTCTGTCTTTTACTCCCTCCTTCCCTCCCTCCTTCCTTCCTTTTTTATATTTTTAAAATATTTTTATTTAAAGACAGGGTTTCACCATGTTGGTCAGGCTGGTCTTGAACTCCCGACCTCAGGTGATCTGCCTGCCTTGGCCTCCAAAGTGCTTGGATTACAGGTGTGAGCCACCACGCCCGGCCCCTCCCTCCCTCCCTCCCTCCCTCTCTCCCTTCCTTCCTTCCTTCTTTCTTTTTTTCCTGTTAACATAATGAAATCATGTCACTTGTGTAATGATAACAGAAATTATCAGAATGCTGGGTGTGGTGGCTCACACCTGTAATCCTAGCATTTTAGGAGGCTGAGATGGGTAGGTCACTTGAGCTCAGGAATTCAAGACCAGCCTGGGCAACATGGTGAAACCTTGTCTCTACAAAAAAATACATGCCAGGCGCGGTGGCTCATGCCTGTAATCCCAGCACTTTGGGAGGCCGAGGGGGGCAGATCATGAGATCAAGAGATCGAGACCATCCTGGACAACATGGTGAAACTCCATTTCTGTTAAAAATGCAAAAATTAGTTGGCTGTGGTGGTGCATGCCTGTAGTCCCAGCTACTCAGGAGGCTGAGGCAGGAGAATCACTTGAACCCAGGAGGCGGAGGTTGCAGTGAGCTGAGACCGTGCCACTGTACTCCAGCCTGGGCGACAGAGTGAGACCTTGTCTCAAAAAAACCAAACGAAAGAAACAAACAAAACAAAAAATTAGCTAGGTGTGGTGGTACACACCGTAGTCCTAGCTACTTGGGAGGCTGAGGCAGAAGAATTTCTTGTGCCTGGGAGGTGGAGGTTGCAGTGACCTGAAATTGCGCCTCTGCACTGCAGCCTGGGCAACAAATTGAGATTCTGTCTCAAAAAAAGAAATGATCAGAAACCCAGACCTGGAAGAGCTCTCAGGCCAATGGGAGATCAGCATAGGGAAGGTGGAATCCGAATGGGAACATGGGATTCTAAGCCAGGATGTGCCCTAGAGGGGCCTGGACTCTGGACTCAGGACTCAGATCCCAGTCTCACCAAGCCTGCCATGACCACCAGCACAAAGCCTTTCTTCCCTTTCTTGCTGTCCTCTGAACCCCACACCCGTGGCTGTGCCCACCACTCAAAGGCATGCACTTGGCTCGTGTTGCCTTGTGACATTGTTCCTATCGCTACCCCACAGTCCTATTTTACCTTGAGCAAGGATGACACACACATCTGTGACTCATTTCATATTGTTCTGCCCTCTCCATCTCCAGACTCCCAGAGGCACTGACTGTCCCCTGGCTGGCATGTGCTCTGCAGCTATTTTTCACATGGCACAACCCATCACCCAACATACTGTCAACTCCACGGTGTCTTGGGATTGCAAGTTATATGATTTTTGCCAACCCCCTTTCCCACAACTTTACAAGAAGTAGGATTTTATGATATGCCTGTGGAAAATGAGAATCATATTGTTTCTTTTCATATTGATGACTTTCTCCATAATAAAATTATGAGCCTTTGCAGCCATAGCCCATTCACTCATTCAATCATTCATTCAGCGTTTAACGAGTGCCTATGATGTGCCAGGCATTGTGTTGAGTGCTGGGACAGAACTGAGTACAGCACAGCTCCTCCTTACTAGATGTTAGTTTATTAGCAAGAAACAGATACAGGCTGGGTGCCATGGCTCAGGCCTGTAATCCCAACATTTTGGGAGGCTGAGGCCCGAGGATTGCTTGAGCCCAGGAGTTAGAGAGCAGCCTGTACAATACAGGGAGACCTCATCTCTGCAAAAAATAAAAATATTAGCCAGGTGTGGTGGCGTGCACCTGTAGTCTCAGCTACTCAGGAGGCTAAGGTGAGAGGATCACTTTAGCCCATGGGGTTGAGACTGCAGTGAGTGTGATCGTGCCACTGGACTCTATCCTGGACGTCGGAGCAAACAAGTAAGTGGGGGAAAGGCGGTACAAGAGCTCTGACGGCCAGCGTGCAGGGTAGAGAAGGGAGTGGTTGGTTGGGCATAGAGAAGGCTTTTTCATAGGAACAACATCAAGTGCTTATTCTAGGACAGCTTGTTTTCTCGGGACTTAATGTATATTCATTCACTTAATTCTCACCACAGCAACAAGGCAGGTGTTTTTTGTTTTTTGTTTTTTGAGACAGACTTTCGCTTTTGTTACCCAGGCTGGAGTACAATGGCGCGATCTCATCTCACTGCAGCCTCCACCTCCTGGGTTCAAGTAATTCTCCTGCCTCAGCCTCCTGAGTAGCTGGGACTACAGGCATGT